TGTGTGTGTGTGTGTGTGTGTGTGTGTGTGTGTGTGTGTGTGTGTGTGTGTGTGTAAAATTTTATTTTTCCTTTTATTTGCAAATGCATTTGTGTCTCTTAAATATTTATGAAGTAGCAGAATGATCCCAAACACAGCAGCTGATCTACAGCAGAATGGCTCAGAAAAGAAAAAAATCAAAGTGTTGCTACGGTCCAGTCTAGACATCAATGATTGAAATGAAGCTTATGTGCAAATTCAAAGCGGAGGACTCTCTCCACCTCACCTGCTCCATCCAGTCGCTGCATCACGTTCCCACCTGCAGTCAGTCAGYGTCAGATCCTCGCCTCACCGTACCAGTCAACTCACAGGGATCCTCTAGGGATCACCARTTCCAGTCCTCGAGGGCTGCAGCCCTGCATGTTTTACTTATTTCTCTGCTCCAACACACCTGATTTGAATGAATGGATGATTATCAGGCTTCTGCAGAACTTGGAAGAGGTAATTCACTGACTGAATCAGGTGTGTTAGAGAAGGGAAAAAGTTAAACATGCAGGGCTGCGGACCTCGAGGACTGGAACTGATGATCCACGCTAAGGCCCAGCACCCAAGGATCAGGCTGCTCTCCAGACGTGTTCAACCCCACCTCCACCCTGCCTCCACCTTCATCTCAGGCTCTTCCTGGCCACCCCTTCCCTCTGGTCTCCACACCAACACCAGTGTCCGACGTTATTCCAGGGGGGAGACGTTATTCCTAAAACCTAAGCTGAGTGCTAGCTCACAGTGGTTCACTGCACCCACATCTTCTGCCGGCCGGGCTCGAGCACCAAAGAACTTTCTCACATCAATAAAACTGTTTAACTGTTATATTTYGGTGTGAGTCTTTCCAGGTTAAAATGCTGTGGTGGGAACTTGATGTAAAGAAGAGTGGGACAGAATTCATCCAAAGTCACGTGAGACTTATCAAGTTATTGCTGCTAAAATGGTTTTACAAGTGTTTGTATTAAGTACTGTACTTGGTTTTACCTATAGTTGAAATAATAATATATTGTGTGTTTTTGTGTGTAAAAATAATTTTACAACCTGCTGAAGCCCAGATTATATTTCCATTACTCCGTCCCAGTGTGTAAAATCCTAACATCCAGTGAGGATTTACTTGTTCCCCAGTTTTTTCATTTGTTGAACCTTCGATCATCTAAAAGAAAAAAAATGTCTAAAATATTCTTTAACTGAAAGGCCGTATAGATTTTCTCATCAAACATAAAAAATACTAAAATCGTAATTTAGCCTGTAACAACAAACAACCTCCATCAGCTGTGCACTCGCTTTAAAAATGGCAAAGGGCAGACATCTGTGTATGTCAAAAGCCCTCGGGCTGTTTTCCCGCTCTTCATTAGCCAGCAGCAAACCTCTTCAGCATCGCCACAATTCAGTCATGGAGCTACATTTGCAAAATAATGAATTTATTATAGGAAAATGACATTAAACACGTGCATCCTCTTCGGAACGAAAACGTTACGCTAAGATTTATCATCCCACGATTTTCACTGCAGCCTCAGTCAAACACCACCCCGCCCCAAAAAAACAAATGCTCAAGATTAAATGACCTATTTGTGTTTACAATTTACTTGTTCATAATGTTGCACATCAGCAGTTTCCCTCCCCTCACCATTTCCTGCACCTTTAATTCAACAGTTTTTTGCCTTCAGCTGCTAATTTTACCTGGACTTAATGAGTTTTTTTTTAAGAAAAATAACGTTTGTAGATGAACGAGAAATTCTTTGGAAGTCATTATGAAAGAAAAAAAAAAACATCTGGCTCAAATTGTTCAACGAAACAAAAACTGTCCGACGCCGTAACATGTGCATTGACTTTTCGGGCCTGACTGGCGCCCTGCGATCTGTTTAGTTGCCGTACAAAGACTCCTGTAGCCTCGAAGCATTTTATGCTAAGTTAATTTACCCAAATATATCTGCGGCATGGTGGCAAGCAGCAGCCACCTTAGCTCCTCAACATCAACAACTTTGTTAATGGAAACTTGCTGATCCATAAACATTTTGTGCTACAGCAGACGTTTGCTGGGGGGCAGCTCGCACGTGAATGTAAAAAAAAAAAAAAAAAAAAAAAACAGAAAAAAACCTGCAGATGGATGAGGGGGCCATTTGCAAAAAGAGGCATAAGGTGTGTTTAATTATAACTGCGTCAGGGGTTTGTGGGTGTGTGCGTCTGGTTGTGGGGGGGAGGTGTTGCTGTTGAAGCTGGAGGAAGGGGGCCATGGTATTTAAATAGGGTCACTTCTAGGCCTCACCTTGCAAGTGTTATGCTATATTAAATGCCACTCATGTTAAGTGTGTTGAAACCTTTCTCTCATGTAGTCAAGACATAATATAAAGGTTAAATTGAAAAATGTCCCTTCAACAGCGCCGGAACATGCCATGATTGATCTCCTTCGTAAAGGAAAAGAAATGTTACCCAGACCTCTGTTTCGTTAGGCCTCTTTAAAGGGACTTAATACAAAATGCTGTAATAAGTAGCGGCTGCTTAAGAATTTAAGTGTCAGTCAATCAGGCTTTTGAAAGGTCAATGAAAAAAAATTAGTAAAATGGGAGCTGAAATTGAGTCGAAAACAACTGAATTGCGGCAGAACGGGTCGATTGCACAAAAGCCTTTTGTGTGTTGAGGAAGCACAGGTGTTAGTAGTAATATTAATTGTTGCTTTAACGAGAGTTCAGACAAAAAAGCACCAAGTCTCACTGAAACACAGGCGTTTGTCCAGGTCAACATCATGCTAGGCTGCTAATTATCTGTTATCATTTGAGTATCAGAGCTGTCTGTGTGATAATTAAAACTTAGGCTAACAAATTGGCTGAAAATTATCCAAATATTTAGTTCTTTTGGAACTTTGATATACTCTGGCATTCATTTAAAACATAGATGAGGTTGCACAAAAACAATTAAAATGTCAAATTCTCAGAGTTTAGTGTTAGCATGCTAAAATTAGCTTTTGCTAATTCAGCATTGCGATTTTTCTGGGAAATATCTAAGAAACAAGAGATAAAACACAAGTAAATTTACTTGAATTTCAGTTTGAAGACATAATTAGATGTTATTATTTCATTTGTAGAACATGTTTGTGTATAACTTCTGTAAACTCTGTTCAGATAGTGTTTTTTTAGTGCTGAAACAGAAGCAACAAGAAAAAGTCCATTAAAATTGTTTTATGATGACTTTGATGCGATTCATTTTCACGACGCAATATATGCAGTTTTTGCCTAATTAACAAAGTTGTGAATAAAATTGAACAAAAGTCAGAAAGTAAAAACTAAACAACCAAATTTATGTTTTTAAATATAGAGATAAAAACAAATTTAAGATTTAAATCTGTGGATTGTGAGTCATATTGTGCGACACAAATAAACTTTATTCAAAGCTTTGAAAAATTCACCAACTTGAGACTAACGGCCAGGTCATGCTACAAAAAATTTTAGACTTAAAAAAAATCTGATGATTAATGTTATTTAATTTATAAGGCAATACAAGTTTTTTTCTTCGTATTTTATGAAGACATTATTAAATCTCTGAGATGATACAATGTAAAAATAAAAATAAAACATCTCTGCTTAGTGATTTTTTTTGAAAAGGTTTTTTTGGCACATGGTAAAATCAAATATCAACAGTCACAGTTGTGCTTATGATTTTGTGTAAATACATTTTCAGAGTAGTTTATAGTCTGTCAGCACAAAACACTTCACAAAAGGAACAACACACAGTTTCCTTACTGAGCTTATTATTGTTCTTTTTTTTGGGGGGGGGGGGTCACTTTTAAATGTTGAATAATTTTTATCTTCTTAAAGTCTGTTCAAATGTATGAGACGGGAAGCTTCCTGTCTAATCCTCTAGTTACACTTTCAAGTTCAGGGAAATACCTTCAGTGCAGTTCTCCTCCTTTAATCTCCTCGGAGGTCCTGGTTTTGACCGCTGAGAAGAAACAAGTTCGGTTTTGGATTATCTGTTTCTTTCAAAGAGTCCAGAAGTGCAGGTTCAGCTGCTGAGGCTCCAGAACGTGAGCCGGCGGCCCAGCGGGCAGCACGCGTACTGGACCGTGGGACGAACTGAACCCAGACGGTGGAGGATCCGGGGTGGACAGGATGTAGTCGATGCTGAACTTGATCTCTGACTCCGGTTTCCTCGGCTGGCTGGAAGTAGGGATGAGGTGGTTCTGTCGGGGGCTGGACCTCGGCCTCTCAGGGGTCAAGCGGCAGAGGGGGGAGGTCGCTCGCTGGTGTCGGTGGCCCTCCGCGGGGTGAAAAGGGGCCTCTCCTGAGTCGCGGAGCCCGATTTTCATGTTCCTCCTCCGCCTGCGTCGACGAAAGTTGCCGTTTTCAAACAGGTCGAGCATGGACTCACAACCTGTGGCAAAAGTCCAGTAGTTCCCTTTCCCCTTCTCGTTGCCCTCTGTCCGTGGGACCTGTGAGAAGACAGGAAATACGCTTAGAAACTCATAATATAAGCTTCTACTTTTCTAAAGCTCCCTTTAAAATCACATTTAATTCACATCTTCATGTAGATGTTTACCTTAATGAAACAGCTGTTTAGAGACAAGTTGTGTCTGATGGAGTTCTGCCAGGCTCTCTGGTTGGACCGGTAATAAGGGAACCTCTTCATGATGAACTCATAGATGCCCGACAGAGTGACCCGCTGCTCCGGGCTCTGCTGGATGGCCATGGCTATCAGGGCAATGTAGCTGACACAAAAACAAAAAGACTCTCATTCCATTTGGGTCCAAGTGTTTTCCTTTGGGCTTGATTTTATCACCTTCTCCAACATGAAAAAATACTTGGAGATTTAGTCACACATCTCTTATAGTCTTCCTTAAATCTCGTAAACAATAATGAACAACAGTTTTATCACTTATAAATGGAAGAAACATGTCAAAAAAATAAATAAGAAGCTTAAAGAATTTTTAAGTTTACTGAAAACTCAGATCCAAACCTAACAAGAATAGTTTTGTAGGTTTTTTTTAAAGAAAGAAAATAAACTTTTATAGACAACCTCAAGGTGGTGTTTAAATAATTCAAAAGTGTATTTGTGGTAACACGTACCGGTAGTATGTGTTTAATTTTAAATGTCTTAATTCAGGGTGATATAATAATAATAACAAAACAACATTTTGGCTAATTATTCTGTTTTAAGAATAATTTAGTTAATTTTTTTGTAGATTTACACACATTTTTTTTATCATGGGGACAAAGATGTTCTCCTCATTGAGTCATCAATGCATAAAATTTCTGTTTAGTCTTCGTCACCAAACGATAAATGATGTAAAACTCAAATAATGAAACCTGAAAGCTCTGTTTGCAGTTACAGTAACAGCGTTCTCACATACCTGTATGCAGGTCGACACATTTTCTTCTCCTCGTCAGTGCTGGAAGACGGGTATCCGTCCCCGTCGTAGTTGAAGCAGTTGAAGGGGTAGTGAGAGTTGTCAAACATGTCAACACTTTGACTCGGCAGATGTGAAACCAGAACTTTGTAGGCTCCTCTGAGGCTCAGCAGCAGCAGCAGCAGCAGCACTCTGTCCTGCAGCTCTGCTCTCCTTCATGCTGCTGACACTCAAGTCCAAGAGCCTCTGCTGACGATGGCTGCCTCCAGCCCCCCCCCCCCCCTTCAACTCCCCCCACACCACGGCCCTGCTTCAGGTCTCAGAGCTCCTTGATTTCTTCTCACGTTGTGTTTTTCAGAAGCCRCAGATAAATCCTGTTTTTGCCACAAAGCTTTCGTTTTTTTCATTCCATGTTTTTCTCGAGCGTACGACATGTGAACAATGACTCTGAAAGGAAAAAAAAACTGGAGCTCGTTTAGAATCTGATAACTATGAAGAACCTTTTTTCACATTTTAAGACACATTCAAAATATACACAAACTTATAAAAACAAACAAACAAACAAAGATAAATACCTCATTTACATGACTTTTCTTATACCTGGCTGCACTGTGGTTTTAGGTGTATTAGACATAACAGTGTCATTTTTATTGTGTGTGTGTGTGTGTGGGGGGGGGGGGGGGCTTACAATGTGGGGAAAAATTTCCCAAAAAAAAGCAGTCTTGTGGGGACCAATGCCAGATCCCCATGGGTCCAAATCCATATTACGGGTGTGGGATTAGGTTTAGGACCAAGGTTTAGGTTAGTTTTAGGTAGGGATGCATATCGGTATTGATATCGGTATCGGCCGATATTGGCAATTTTTTAGAATATCTGTATCGGTCCGATATGTAAAATTGGGCCGATATTAACGTCCGATATTGATTTCCCACTTTGTATCTTTGTGTTTCTGTTTTGGAAGGGGAGATGGTTGGTTGAGCAGCATGTGTTTGGTCATAATAGTGATATTGATGCTGCGTAACCAGGAATAACTGAAGTAGGGAGTCGTGTCAGAGGTCTGGTCGTTTATTTACGGTATCAAAAAAAGACCCAAGTGTGTTTGTGTGTATATGTATAATATAATTTGTGTGTTTGTGTAATATCAGTAAATATCAGTTATCGGCCATAACAGCAATAATTATATCGGATATCGATATCGGCTGAAATTTTCATATCGGTGCATCCCTAATTTTTTGGGTCAGGTAGGTACCTGTGAGGTTAATTTTAGGGTAAATGGTCAGGGTTAGGATATAAAGTCTAAAAAAATAATGAAAGTCAATGCAGGGTCCCCACGGGGTTCAAGAACAAACATGTGTGTGTGTGTGTGTGTGTGTGTGTGTGTGTGTGTGTGTGTGTGTTTCTTCTGCAGAGTGAGGACTCTCATATGTTTTTTAACCAACAAAATGAGGACATTTTTAGGAAGTGAGGACATTTTTTTCCAGTCCTCACTTTTTTGCAGATCTCCTGCGCACTATGATGTGGTCCACTTTCTCAATAAATCTGAACATTCATTAAATGCATGTCTGCATTTCTGATTGGTGTATCAGTGTATTAGGTAAGCTGCTAAAGTAAACTATTTCAAACTGAACAATTTGTTCAGGTTAATCTTTTATTGTTTGATTTCAACAGTCTGCAGTGCATGCCTTTAATAATATCTGATCTCAAATTACAGTTTATTTGACAGCAAATGTGCAAACTTTTCAAGGAAATACACTATTTGATGGAGAGGGGAAAACTGACTTTAAATGCTTTTTATGGGCCATTCATTACAATGACATTTCTCATTTCACATACACTTTTTTCTAAAATTACTAACACCTCCTAAACTATAACTGATTCCCATGTCTTATGACATGTCTTATGACATGGGAAGACATGAAGTGATTATCATTATGTTAGCACTTTGTGTTCAGAATTACACTCAGCTACTACCACAATATGTTCGAGCTCAAAATGTGCAAAACTGACTGAATTATAAACATATTTGTGTTACATGAAGTCTGTTGATTGTGGCAGTCATATTGAGCTGAGTTGACTCCAGAAGTTAATGAGTGGTATACGTACATGCAATAAATATATTCTGGGAGTTTCATTAAAATCTGTCTTGTGGTTCAGGAGGTATTTTGCTAACAGACACACACATGCAGAGTGAAAGAAAATATATTAGAATGATTTTAAAGGAGGTTCTAATGAACCATAAGTGATTTTTGTCAAAACGAGCTGTAGTTTACAGACATGTAGCATCATTTAAGCTCATCTGGTTTAGCAGGTTGATGATCTGTATCCCGAGGCAGCGTTCTGGACTTCAGAGTCCGTCCCCTGCCTTCATCCAGCAGGATTCTGGGTGGTCCACTAAACACACAGGCTGCCTTTATGTTTTATTTGGCCTCTATTTATAGCCTAATCTCTCTAAGTGCAGTTTAAACAGCTAACTCCAAATCAATAAACAAAATCCTTTGCATCTTTGTTTTCTTTTTCTCTCAGTTAACTCTGTGTGTGTGTGTGTGTGTGTGTGTGTGTGTGTGTG